TCTTATTCAAAGTTTAGTTTAGAATTTAAATGAAATTTAAAATTTAATACAGTCAAGGGAGAAGATAAAGGGTGCCTCTCTATTTATACACATTGCTGTGACTTAACTGCAAATAGAACACTAAACTGCACAAAAGGATTAACGGAATAGAGGCAAGAACAGCTCCCGAGGGCCGCTAAGATCAATTAGATATGAGAGAGGACTAGGCGAGACAATGGCGGGATCCATTCGCTTTGATCCAGTCGCTAAACAATGGGGTTGGAGAGCGGTAGAGCGGCGAGTATAAAAAGTAACGAAGTCGGCAAAGCCATTGTGTCAACACTCGAGGCTCGCGGATCGAGTCCCTTTGATGAAGAAATTTTTTGAACTTTTTCCCTTTATCAGCTCTGATAAGGCCGGAAAGTGTTCGTTAAGGCTTTTTGCCCTACCGCTGTTACCGTTCAAGAGGATAATTATTTTTCTTTGAGCTCGTTAACGAGATCGAGTTTAGTTCGGATTTTGCGAAGAGTTGGTTTCTGGTACTCTTTTAAATTAAATATTTCTTGCTTTAAATGATTTATTTTTTTAACAACCTTCGATGAAGCAGATACAGAATTATATTTCTTACATAGGAATGTTGTATTATAACTACCGTAATTTATCAGTATGAAGAAATAAGAGATAAATAACATTCAAATACATTTTCCAATAATGTTCAATCCATTAAGTCTGATTTCAATCATGATAATGAGAGTAGTAATGTCTGACACGTTACTTAAATGATGCAGGAAAACATAAAATATTAAAATGCTATTTTCAGAGACAGCTATCTGAAAATGTCTTGGTAAAGAACAAAGAACTGTAGATCTTCAATCGACAGGATCAGAAAGACGGATGTAACCAAAACTTTAGATGAGTAGAACATTGAAACATGTCTGGCGAACGGTGTACTTAGTTTGTATAAAAAATAAACGTGGTAAAAACAACCAATCATCCAAGAAATCCGAAAGCACCCAAGGAATGATCCAGGTTTGCCGCCTTAGCCCAATATTGTTAATAATGGTACTCAACATGGCCTTACGTACTCTTGGCTAAGGCGAGAATGAGGTCATTTTAGTTGGGCCATAGGAAATTTATTCAAGTTTACCTCACCTTCAGCTTATGCCGATGACGCAGTCGTAGTCGAGAATAATGGAAGAAATTTGTGTTTCAAGCTAAGAATCCTACAGAATGAATTGCAGTTATTAAACCAAAATTGCAGCAGCAAAACTAAGTTAATGAGAATAGGAAGGGGGGAAGAAAGAACAGACCAAAAACTTTGGCTGAAGGGAGAACTAGAAATATGAAAAGCTGGAACAATTCATAGACTTCAATTACTTGGGGGCACATTGAAAATAATCGGTCCAGTAATTTCTGAGAAAATGCACAGACGGCGGACGGACAACAAATTTTTATTCGTTTTTCGAATTCTACGTATCCTAAAACGTAAAACCTCAAATTTTAACAGAGGGTTAAGTTTTTGAATTTTTTGTTGGATCACAATGGTTCATTATTTCAAATAATAAACTAAAAATACTTAAAAATTGATACCTTTACTAATACTTAAATGTATCTTTACTAATATTGCTTTGATGAAGCTTTGTTCAGTTTTTAGGAAATTTAAATACCTTTGAAACATCTTATCGCAGTATCAACAGAAAAGTGTATAGTTTTTGGGTAATTCGGATTCCATGTTTACCATTCCTCGTAACTTTTTTTCCAGCTCCTTTTTGTTGAAGTATGTTGTATAGATAAATTTAAAGGGCATCGAGAATAAAACTTTAGCGAAGTTTCATTGAATTCGGTACATTCGTTTAGGAGCTACAGTCTATAATAATGCAGGTTTTTCGATCGCAATTTTGAAAGGAAAATGCGGATAGAAATGTCGATGAAGGAGGATAATTCCTCTGATGTTAAAGCCAAATTTACAAAAAATCGGTCTTGTAGTTTCGGAGAAAATGTACAGACGGCGGACATACAAAAAAATATTGAATTCGTTTTTAGAATTCTACTTATCCTGAAACGTAGAATCTCAAATTTAAGTAGAGGGTAAGTTTTTTAATTTTTTGTTCGATCACAATGGTTCATTATTTAAAATAATAAGTGAAAAACTGGTTAGTTTGAGAAATCAGTAAATACATTTTGCCACCAAATGTATTCATTCAATCAAGTCTGGTTTCTAGGAAAAAAAAGAAATTTCGGAAAATGTTAAAAAGCAGTATATAAAATTATATTCATTCTATAACTCTACTGACGTATGCCAGTGAATCTTGGACTCTGATATTAAGATATAGGAGCCAAACTATTGCAGTATTGGAATGTTGGTGGTGTTTGTTTATTGATATAAGGGTATAAATAAGTCAGATTTGTATGACCTATTCTGAACTTAGCCACGGCGACTTCTTCTCTGCGATTAAAACAGTATGATGTAGTCCAGGATGTTATCTGATAGCTCTGATTTTTACTGATAACAGGGTTGATATTTTGATAGCTTTTGTATTGCTTGGTGAGCTCTCATCTCGCATGGACTACCAGCTGTCCGATATTTCTTTTTTGGGAGAAAACTCATCTTTTGTGGTGTTACGATAGCAGTATCGCGGCAAGGGAGCGTGAGCTCTTGTTTGGTAGCTATATCTGCAAGCTCATTACCAATATTGCCCACTGTAAATCCAATCATGGCGTACGTATTTTATGTGTATATTTTTATGTAGTGAATTAAGACCAATGCCTCCTGTGTATTTAGCGGGGTAGCCAATATCCGGAAGGCGATGTAATAAATTCATAGGCTCCAGAGGGGAGGTGGATAGGGGGAGAGTGGATCGTGCTAAGGTCGCTGGACACAGCTGGGCCATGCAAACGAGGGCTACAGATGTCCTTAAGGTTTATAGGTCCCAGGCTTACACCGACGGCTTCATATCCTGTCTCGGTAACATCACGGCTCCTTGCTATACATGTCAGGGGTTATAAACCGTTGTTGTTGATTGGTGATTCAATATTAGATGGAAAGCCAGGAAGTTTTCATATAATCAGTGCATATAAAGCTAGCAACTCTTTATGAGTTAAAAAGTATTTATTGTTCTTCATCATGAAATGACCGTCAGCTACTTACAGCGAGTTTGATTCGATTACACACACAAAAAAAAAAAAATGACATCAGAGTGATTCTGAATGAAGTTAAATTCAAATGAACTTAAGAATTATTTAGCTAAGAAAAATATCTGATTAATGATTATGAATATTTAATCCACCTTCATCAATCTAAAGAGCTCAATGAAAGGTCACACCAGACCTTAGTAGAAAGCTGTAAAATTAACAATTGGGACAAGCAGGGTCGTGAGTTGTTGAAGGTTTGCAAAATATAATCCAACTATTAACAGTTTCACTAAACGTAAACTACAATATCTAATTCTCGGGAAAAACAACCATCTATTGGTCCAATTGGTGGTATGTATAAAAGTGATTTAGCCAGTTTTTTTTTTTCAATTCTACGAATAATTCCAACATAAACAAAGGAATTGATAAAAACAGAATACAACCTACATTTGAACTGTAGGAAATGTAGTCTATGTTGAGGATCGTAGTAAGTTGAATAGAAGAAAGTTGGATAAAAGGTGGTCCATTCAAGATTATAAAGAAATATACCCAATAGATTGCTATAAAAAGAAGACAGTGACCAATCTATTTCACAGCAATAAATAATCATTTTTTTGGGTGGAAAAGTGTCCACATAAGGAGAGATGTAAATTATTTTTATTTTATCATATTTTGTTTAGATACTGCGAATTTTCGTTTGAAGGATTAATAAGGTCTTGATATATATGAATAAGGTATTGATATGAAGGTCTTATCATTGTTTATTAGCTTGACGCTTATTAGCTTTTGGTTTATTTTCGACCATTTTAAATATCTGCAAACCTATTTTTTAACACTGGCATATTAATGTGAACGTGCAGAAACTATTATTATTTTTCTCATTATTTATTAAACAGTTATTATAGTCCGTTATGCAGAGTGGGGCCCTTTCAAATAATTAACATCCGCCTGAAACTTCGAGAATATCTCCATCTCTCCGTGACTTGCAAATATTTAACTCACAAAAACTCTTAGAATTGGGGCGTTTGCAATATGTAGATCGAGTAACTTTATCTATTTAATTAGGTGCTAAAACTAGTGAATACCCCATTTCCTTTCCAGTTAGATCGTAAGGTAATATGATGAAGAAATCGAGAAAAATGGTGACGTAAAAAAAAATTAGGCGTTTAGCCTATATAGTCTCGTTATTTTGTTATGTTAGTGGTGTAGGTCAAATTTCCTTATCAAAGTATCTTACGATTCAAGTTGAAAGCAAATGAGAATTTACAAGTTTTTAGTACCTCATTAAATACATAAAATATGGCGATCTCCAGATTTAGAACTTCCAAATTCCGAGAACTTTCGTAAATAAAATAGCTGTAGGTTACGATGAGATGAAGTTCAAGGCGAATATTAGTAATTTGATGAAAAGGGATCTGTACCATTCTCAAATAATTTCGTTGTCTCAAATCATGCCGTAGATATTAGTCGAAATCGATATATAATTTTGTTATTTACTGTTCATCTTATAACTCTTATTAAAACTGGCCTAGATTCAGATATATTTTGATTATTGAGGTATTAAATTTATTATTTGCGTATATTTTTTATTTGTTTTATTTTATTGTATTTGTTTGCCAAACTTCTTTGGCTATATGGGTGTTTGCAGTAGGGGGATGTTAAGCATGACTATATAACAACCCGCTACTAAAACAGTAAAAAGTAAAACAGTATAAATATTTCAACATAAAGACTTTTGAACATAAATAAGTTTTCATCGGTGAACTCGTGTTCAACTTCCAGCGGTCTTCTCAACGCTTGTCCTCTTCTCCAGGCTCCAAGGTTGAAGTGGCTGGACCCACTGCCTATTTCCAGCTACAAATAAATTTCTTGAATCCCGGGAAGTTCAATTAATCATTTGCGTGTAGCTCACTGATTCTTTTCGGAATTATAAAATATCTTTTAATAACGTTCATATCTTTAATGAAGAAAAACCTAGTATGGTAATTATTCTTTCCATGTGCATCAGGAGTGAAACTATAAAAGAATATGTGAAATTATAATAATTAATTCGTGTATCATATGAAAATATTTTTCGTGAAGCTAGAAAAATATAAGATCAACTATTTCGTGTAAGAAAAAAAAAGTTTGTTTGTAATTAGAATGTGAAGAGTCTTATATTTACATATTTCTTGCTCATTTTACTACTGTCATAAAAAAATTGATATTTTTTTAAATTTAGAAATAGAAGTATGTTATGTACATATGAAAGACAATAAATTTTAAATGCAAATTTGTAATATACATTGGTTGTGACCTTGTAAAAGTGAGATGGTTGTCTCCTCTACACTTATTACTCCTGCCTTCCTACACTCCTCGTGATAGAACCTCAGATTTCTGAAAATCCGCTTTACAGTCCACTAATGACTCAGTGTTTAATTCATCATCATTAAGTAGTTTTATTTTAACTACTAACATAATAGAAATGACTTGTTATTTGTTTAATTTTATACTGATCCCTCCAATGCTAATATCTAACCCCTCGCAGGATAAACGGTAATCTGGAATCTTGGCCGACAACTGAGGGACGGAAGATGGTATCAAGTGCCGGAGGATGGGCCGATAAAGGACTACCGTTTAATAAGCGAAGGCTCCTGAAGATGTTAATACCGGACTGATGCAAATCTCGAGGAGGAGTCCCGCAATAAAAGACCGGGAGGAGGTGCGAGGGGCCTCAGACTAATACAGACGAGGGAATTATGCTAAGGAGCGGTGGTCTGCCAAATGAGGCTTGCCTTTTGCTCTTCACTCTTCGTCGCGATTTACGGTCTTCCGCCTCAGAATTTGTCTCTGGAATTATTTTGAGGGCTCCGGATTTAATAGGGGGATCCCGCCCAGACGTAGTGGAAACGACCTCAGACCCCAGCAACCTCCCGGAGAAGGAGGCTCACGTATTATGGAGCGACTTCCTCCTTGCGCACATATACATACGGATGGCCTCGGCTTTATGCAGATGTCGGGGGTGTGATCACGCAGTTATTTCACGTCTTGTTCTCGACTATGAGGATGTGTATGACAATGTGCTAACACTCCTCTGCTTAATGTCCTGTAACATGGATGATATTTCTGTTTATTTCTCTTGATTATTTTTTTTAAATAATTTTAATTTAACAGATTAAGATAAAATCAATAACTCAAATAACAATATTTACATGTGATCTATTAGTGCAAAAATTATGACACTATTTTATTTACAGTCACTTCGATAGTTATTACCATAAAGCGATAATGATTTCGAAGGCTATGTTGGATGATAAATCGAGCTTTAATAAAATAGATTAGTAGAAGAATATTACTATGTTTTCAAAAGTTGTTAAATAAAATGATACTTATAGATTTCTCTCCCTGTATTTTATGTTGTTTTTTTTTTTGTTAGCCTTTCACAACAAAGTGGTTACAATTAATCCGTTTTTTCAAAAACATCTACAAGAAAGTTATAAGTTTCATCATCCTGCCATCCACTACAAAATGATTATTTCTTATGTTCCATAAGAATTTTTATCATTAATCTACTTGTGTGCTTAGAGAGTAATATAGTTTAGCTCCTCACCACTGGAGGTTTTTTAATTATAATGTGATTAAATGCTGAACATTTATTTGTCATCAGTTTTAAATATCGTATTTTTAATTTTAGAGAATAGAGATTAGTCTGTGCGTTGTCAAATCTTTGTGATAGACATACCATCCCATATTGTTTGTAATGTTGTGATTACTTTCTCGGAGGATTTTGTTGATAGATCCTTAGATTTTCTTAAATTTAATGCAATAATAAATAATAATAATAAATAAATAAACAATAATAAATAAATTTTTATTGATACCTCTATATTTAAAATTTTGGTGGGTGCAACACACAACTTTCATATACCGTTCTACTTTTAATAAAAAACAAATATTTTCTGACAAAGTTGGGGTATTATAAAATTTATGAAGTGCATTTTCAACCTAACTTCAGCTTAAAGTTTACTATTAAAAAATCATTAAGACCATTAAACCAATAAAAACCTCGTGCTTCCATGTGTTTTTGTAAACAACATAACTCCAGTCAGAGCTTTATATCTACGTATATGTCTAGAGAGATTTGCAAATGTATTTGTATATTAAACTAATAAATGATTATGGGTTGGACGCCTATTAGTTATTAAATGTTATTTTCCATTGTAAAGTTTACTAAAATGAAATTACGAGATTTTCATTGCCTGCCAAAGATAGGTCAAACGTTGTCACACTAATTTTAAGTGGATAATGTGAGGATTTAACAATGGGAAAATTCATCAAATTATTCACTAATTTAACTTTCTTAAATTTTACATTGTTTTACTGAATAAACGGACGTTGATACCTAATTATTTAAATATAATATCAGATCTAGAATTATTAAACTACAGGAAATGTTTTTAAGGTTATAAACATATGTTTCATACATCCATGAAATATTTTTATATTTAACATCTTCTTTCACAAAAGTACACTGAAATAGTTTTTTAAACAATGTCATTGATTTGATTAGGTGGATTTTAAATACCTTTTCAAACTTAAAAACATTTTTAGAAGTTTATGTTTAGTTAGTATATTGTATATAATTTCCTCTAAAACACGTGATCCATTAAATAATAATCGTCTTCAAAAATTATTATTTATATATTTTCTTCACTCTCCATTACTTTCTACGACTTTATATATTAGATATTGCTTCTCCTAATATTCTCGACTTTTCAACGATATACCTTCTGACTATTATTTCCGAAGATTCCTTTTCGAGCTTAATAAGCATTTTTCTATTTTATCCTTTATTCATTTATAAAATCCTTTCAAAACTTATATTTAGCCTTTTTTCATTATTTATATCAATCAGAAATAGTTAATTATTTAATATAAACCAAATTAAAGGCACTTTAGAGGAAGGCACGTTGAACATTGGGCATTTAAGCCATGTAAAGTGTCATCAATGGGTACAAGATCTAAATGATATTAAATACCACTTAATTATAAATTCATACACAGTGTTTAATTAAAATCTTTTGATCCAATTTTGAGAAAATTTTAAAAATGTGTTTAATCAATTCTATAAAGTACCACTTCAGGTTAGCCGATTTTGACAAAAAAGTTTATGTAACATCTCAAGCATATAAAAACCTTAAATATATAATTTGATTTTCGTGCGAATTTCTGTTTTTGAGCTATACTGAGCTATAACAGACACACAGATCATTTTGTGGGGCAGAAAACGTGTATTTTCGTTGGAATCTTTTGAAAGGTTAAAAAATTTTCACGGTCGCAATACTTTCCCTTAATACATATTACATACATAGGTAGGTGAAATAAGTAAGAACAATTTGTTTGATTTGGTTCAAGATGGTGGAAAGTTCGAGATTGGTGAAGAATGATCCAGCATCAATTTTAACAAATTCCATCCCCTAATTTCGCTTTCGCCAACGCTTTTTCCGCATTACGTTTATATTTTTATAAAAATTATTCGATCGGGCCCTAGTCTCAAGGGAAATTGGAGGATATTGTACAAACAAATTTCATAACATTTTTTTTAGCTACTTAAATTAAGGTAATTATTAAAAATATAATGAATATGAGATGAGATAGACAGTAAACATACGGTAATGAGACGTAATATTTGTTTTTCATCAGACGATTTCATTTTGACAAGCAGATTGCTTATATTTAATGAAATTTTGAGACATTGTGCCGATTGTTGCCCAAGTCTGATTTTATCAAATATCATCTGTTTATTCCGGTCAGGATACGACTTTTATTAAGAAGACTACAATTTAAAAACGGCTCCCAAGATATTATTCCTAAATAAAAAATCACAGATCTTGAAATATTTGTTATTATGTAACCAACAGAAATGGTGAGGAAAGTTTACTTAGCCAGCCAGCTTGGTTGACGGTTATTCTTGACAAATGCATAGTTATCTATGGATGAATAGATTCCTTACAATTTGGTTGTAGCGGTAGGGAATAAAGAAGTTTTTTTTGCCATATTTAAGGAACAAATACTGCTACGAGTATGCATGGTGAAGAGGTTTTGTCGTTTCTTACATTTATTAGCACAATATGAGAGCCATTTGACAAAATAAAATATTATTTTACGGATGTATTGAAAGAATTAAGCCGTATATTATTATCTGACAAGTGAAGCAGTGATGATTAATTAAAATGGTTTATATTTTTTAAAAAATAATCAAACTGTCAATGTGTATATATATTATAAAATAACCAATTCCTTGGATGGCCGCCGAAAGCTATGAATTATTATCGGTCGGACATGTCGTTACGGTACTGACATTTTGGGTAATATTTTTTTCGATTTAATGTTTTGATTTAGTGCCATAACGGATCCGGCAATATTGAGGTTCGATTTTATTTTTATACGGTCGTTAATCCCGTAAGCACTTGGTCAGCCGTTTTTACGACGGCTGGTAATGGTCGTGCGGCCCGGGTACACCTGTTAGCTTGCCATCGGCTCGCCTCTTCCCTCGTAATGGATGTTCCATCACTGATATTATTGAAATAATTGCCAATAACTGGCGGTTTAATCGTTAAATATCATTCATTTATCAATTAACAAAGCGTTTTGCGTATTATTTAATTGGGAAAATGTTTGACAAGGGTAGCGATCGTAAAATAACTGTAAGAAGTGGAAAATATTTTATGCCTGCTGCTAAGTACCCTTCTTCTTCCTCTTTATACATTAAAATTTCGCGTTTAGGCCCTACCAGACTTTTCCAATGAGGTTAATACCTGCATGATATTAAATATCATTTAATTTCCCATCTCTCCACCAATCACCACTAGTACCAATGGCGCGGTTGAGAGAGTAGTACAGAGACCTCATGCAGTCCTGGTTTTCCCTCCATAGTTGGAGGTTTAAGTCTGCCTAATTGTAAATTGCGTATATAAATATGAATGTGTTTTTAAAAAAATAATTATCATTAAGTTATTTATTATATATACTTTTTGATTTAATATAATATATAAACAAAAAATATTGTATAATATGCTCATACATATTGTTAATCCTATATAATTGTATATTAGTTTTAAAAAATTGTCTGTAGTGATTAATAAGTATGCTGTGTTTTTAGCAACCCAATGTAATTGGGCAGCACCCTCTTATGATAATAAAGTGATTCTCTCTTCTATTTTTCTTCTGTTTATTTTATGTTTTCTGTACATATAGTGTTCTTATCTCACTATAATTCTTGTTTGTGTGACAGAATAATATATTACCCAATAAATAAATTTTAAAAATTTTCATAGAAATGGAGAGTTTTATGAAAATTGTTTCAGCCATTTTCGAGAATTCTGAAAATGTGTAGAATCGATATTATAAAGTATTATTTCCGGTTAGTCGATATTGACGAGAATCTTCGAGTCAAATTCAAGGTGTATACCTAAATAGGTAATTTTGGTTTTATACGATTTTTAGATTTTGAGCTAAACTAATGCAAACATAACTTTTAACGAAAATTGTTTATTTGGAAATATGTGATCTTGAAACTGTTGAAAATTTGGATTCGAAATTTCTTAAGATCACAATACTTTCTCTTATTATATATTTCATATAAGTACCGATAAGGATCTCGATTTTGCTTATCTTGTTAGATAGGTTTGGTTGTACCTTGGAGAAAAGGATTCTCCAAACTTTTTGGCCTTGACACTTCCATTAAGTGTTGCGGGTCATGGTCTGGTGAAAAAAACCTGATTTAGTCTGTGGGCCAGACCCCCTTACCGTGCACCCCCCCCACATCCCTATAAATTGCATATCGTTGTGTTCCTTGTAACAATTTATTAAAAAAAAGCCAATGTTCCCACAAAAAAAAGTGAACGCACTGCCCCAAAATGGTGTCCAAAGATGGCGGATTGACGACTTTGACTTTAGTTAGTTTTTTGGTCACTGAGAATCAGCATTTGGCTTCATTTCCTTATAGTTGGTCTTTTATTAAAGCTGAATAGTCATAGAATAATAAAACATAAAGAAATATTAAAAAATAATTGGTTTAGGCTATGAAAAACACCAGTAAAGTCAATTTTTTTAACAAAAAAAATTTCAAGTTACAAATCAAGCGTCGTTTGTAATTAAACGGCCTACAATAACGCAAAACATGCTGAAATAAAACATCTGGAGAATATATTTCTCTTTCTAAAACGCTAATTATTTTTTTAAAAATTTTAAGCGGTTCGGTAGAAAACGGACTTATGCGGCAGAAAAGCGGTACTGGCGTGGGTGCCTACAGGCCTCTACCACACCATTCAGTACACATAAATGGCTTAGTTATAGTGATATAATAACTTTTTTGGTACATTATATTGGTTTTATTAACGAAAAAATATTAATACAATAATATAATTGTAAAAAAAAAATTAAATTTAAAAAAAAAATTAAAATTAAAAACAAATTTATTATTATTTTTTTTAATTTAACCTCCTTTATTATATAAGTAGGTCGTTTAAGAAGACTTCAATCGTAAAAATGATATAATTACAATAATAAAACTTAATTAAGAAATACTTTGCTAAATATCTTGATTTTTTTTTTATTTAACGTTTGCAATTTAACACTATGTTTTGTATATTCACTGATTCTTAGAGGTGATTAAAATTTGTATTTACTTCCCAGGAAATGAGTCATATTAACACCTGTTTTATAAACTAAAATAATATATACCTAATCTGAACTATATATAATGAATAGCTACCGGATTGTTTAGTAAAACTCATATATCACTAATTAAAAAATTAATTTTTATTTCCTTTATTTTGTACGGAAGTTGGACTATATCATAAATAAATAGGAAATTTTAATATTGAATAAATTATTCTCTCCGCACAAAGAAAGATAGAAAGGGTGACGTTATAAGTTCTTCTATAAACCAGAACAGGTTGTTTGATTTTCGTATCAAAATGAGGAAAAACTCGAAATTGAACCAGAAAATTGGAAAAATAGATTAAGCGAACGAGAAAGGAAGTGCCAAAACTTTGGAAAAGATAAAAAGGACCAGTATCCATTATATAGCTAAATGAATGTACAGTAGACAGATGAACAGAATATTTCAAGATGCTGCTAAAAGGGGATCAATTGCAGTTTGGATGATATTAAGTGGACGATGTAGGTTTATTATGGTGAAAACCACTTTATTTTCGATTGCTGAAGATGCACATCGGGACAATATATTAACTTTGAAGCAGGATATAGAGAGGTATATCGAGAAAGCTATAGCTCATAGCACTCCTTCTGTTTAGTGGATTTGGAAAAGATTTTTTAAGGAATCTAAAACGAAAACGAGCTTTTCTGAAAGACAATTAGATATTAGCATAATGCAAAGTGTTAGACACTAAGCAGATAGAGAGCTATTTTTATTTTTATATGGACTTCTCTATAACCTACCTTAAAGTAAAGACAGTCCCAATTTTCATTTTCTTTTCCAATGTGCTACTAGAGTTTCTCAATCCATATCGCTCTGGCAATTGACAATATTTCTTATTCCAGCTTCTACGATTCTTGAGTGTAATTTGCCTGGTACACTAAACAGGAGTGAATTTTACCTTGTAAAGATAAAAACCACAGTCCTTTTATATAATTTTCTAATATACTTTTGCCTAAGTTCGCGCAAAACTATGCGAAGCAGGTCAGTTTAGCCCTTTCCATCTTTCTTTGTGCAGAGAGAATAATGCATTCAATATTAACATTTCCTATTTTTTTATGGTATGGTAAAAATTCCGAAAAATTTATTCCGCAATTTCTGAACAGTAACGAGTTATAACTAATATAAGATTCCTTAAAAAATCTTTTGCAAATGCACCAAACAGAAGGAGAGCTATGAGCTATAGCTTTCTCGATATACCTCTCTATATCCTGCTTCAAAGTTAATATATTGTCCCGATGTGCATCTTCAGCAATCGAAAATAAAGTGGTTTTCACCATAATAAACCTACATCGTCCACTTAATATCATCCAAACTGCAATTGATCCCCTTTTAGCAGCATCTTGAAATATTCTGTTCATCTGTCTACTGTACATTCATTTAGCTATATAATGGATACTGGTCCTTTTTATCTTTTCCAAGTTTTGGCACTTCCTTTCTCGTTCGCTTAATCTATTTTTCCAATTTTCTGGTTCAATTTCGAGTTTTTCCTCATTTTGATACGAAAATCAAACAACCTGTTCTGGTTTATAGAAGAACTTATAACGTCACCCTTTCTATCTTTCTTTGTGCGGAGAGAATAATTTATTCAATATTAAAATTTCCTATTTATTTATGATATAGTCCAACTTCCGTACAAAATAAAGGAAATAAAAATTATTTTTTTAATTAGTGATATATGAGTTTTACTAAACAATCCGGTAGCTATTCATTATATATAGTTCAGATTAGGTATATATTATTTTAGTTTATAAAACAGGTGTTAATATGACTCATTTCCTGGGAAGTAAATACAAATTTTAATTACCTCTAAGAATCAGTGAATATACAAAACATAGTGTTAAATTGCAAACGTTAAATAATAAAAAAATCAAGATATTTAGCAAAGTATTTCTTAATTAAGTTTTATTATTGTAATTATATCATTTTTACGATTGAAGTCTTCTTAAACGACCTACTTATATAATAAAGGAGGTTAAATTAAAAAAAATAATAATAAATTTGTTTTTAATTTTAATTTTTTTTAATTTAATTTTTTTTTACAATTATATTATTGCATTAATATTTGTTCGTTAATAAAACCAATATAATGTACCAAAAAAGTTATTATATCACTATAACTAAGCCATTTATGTGTACTGAATAGTGTGGTAGAGGCCTGTAGGCACCCACGCCAGTACCGCTTTTCTGCCGCATAAGTCCGTTTTCTACGAACCGCTTAAAATTTTTAAAAAAATAATTAGCGTTTTAGAAAGAGAAATA